CAAATCTTTGGATTTTTTTTAAAGGCCTGCTATTTGAAACAAGAGGAACACAAGATGGTGTCAGGGTTAGGGTTCCCCCACTTTCCCACTTTGCATTTTCCCACAGTAGAAAGTGTGGCAGGCCTGAAATCCAAAAAGAAAAGATGACTTGCAGGTCTGACAGATGGATGAGTTCCTGTTTATCTGGACTGGACCTTAATGACTGCTTTGCTTATTTTTTTGTTTGTTTATTACTTCTCCCCTCAAAAAGATGCTATAGGGCTGTGATGGCAAACCTATGGCCCGTGTGCCAGAGGTAGCACACAGAGTTCTCTCTGAGGGCACGGGTGCTGCCCCCAGCTGCTCTTCCGGGTTCCGGTGCGCGCATGCTGTCATCTTTCCTATTACCTGTCTCCATTTCTACTTATGACTATAACTTTGTTGTTTGTATCTTTACGTTTTATATTGTTTTATTTAGTTTCCTAGTATGATTTGTGTTGATTCTATCACTAAGTGTTGTATCTTATGATTTATGATGAATGTATTTTTATGATGATTATGATCATGATTTATCACTTATAGCTTTTATGCACCAAAGACAAATTCCTTGTGTGTCCAATCACTCTTGGCCAATAAAGAATATTCTATTCTATTTCTTTTCTATTCTATTCTGCCATTTGTTTATTATTCATTTATTTTAGGAACTGCCCATCTCCTTCACAAAGAAACACACAGAGGCAGTGTGCAAGTAAAATGTAAAAGCAAGGCAGCAGATCCAGTTCTTCAGGCATTTCTGAAAGGCTGGGAGAGTGAGGAACCACTTCACTTTAGGGTGTTTGGGTAGGATGTGCCAAAGGCTGAAGGCAACGGCACAGAAGGTCCTCTTCCTGGATCCTGCCAGTCAAAATCCTTTAATTTCAGCGTCCTTCCCTTTCTGACCAGTGGGCTGGGCTGAGGTAATGAGGCAAGGATGATTATGGAGTTGATCACCTCAGTGAAGACTGATTGTGCTAGTAAAACGTAGAAGGGCACTTTTTGCGAAGGAGGAGTTAACAAAGCTGGCAATACAGCAGCTGTAATAAAATGATTGGATTTATGTAGCCAAATGTTGCTTCCAATTTTTCTGTGTGTATGGTCCTAAAACTAGAAGCAGAGGGGAAAGTTTCCATGCCTCTACCAGAAAAAAAGGACATATAAAATAATTAACTTTAAAATTAGTTTATATAGAAACACACCTTTCTTATCCATTTGAAGTTCTGAAATCCTTCTCTTACTGGGGCTGTGTATTAATGTGTGTTTTCTAGATTACTTCATCGTCTTCTTGATTTTCTGTTCAAGTTTTTACCTGTTATTATTTGACATGTTTAAAAAGCATCTCTCCAGACAGCTGTCCCTGTGACAAATGGCTGGCAAAAGAAGAGCTAGTAAACTTTATAGGATTTCATTCTTTAGAGCGCTTCTAAAATACGAAAGAAAAAGGTTGGCTAGATAATTTGAATTTATTTTCCACCAGCCATAATATGCAATTTTTTTTTCCTCTGCTGTAAAAATAAAGTATGTTTCTCATTGTAACTTTATTGCAGAGGTTTTATTACAGCTACAGCAGCTGAAAAGTAATTAAGTTTAGCAGTTGGAAATGGACTTTTCGCCAGATATGAAAGAAATTCAACAATTTCTCACATTTAACTCATTGAAAGGAGTGGGGTGGGGGACGGGACAGGGAGAGAGCCTCTACTAAATATTTTAAGTTTCCTCAACAAAATGAATCTTGAGTTTGATCTATAACAGTGTTTTTAAAACCTGGGAACTTTAAGATGTGTGGGCTTCAGCTCCCAGAATTCCCCAACCAGTTTTGAGCTAAAAAGTTGACGTTCCAATGTTAAAGTTGCCAAGTCAAGATCATGTGACGTATTACCACTATACAAAACCATAGTAAGACCACATCTGGAGTACTGCATCCAGTTTTGGTTCCCACATTATAAAAAAGATGTTGAGACTTTGGAAAAAGTGCAGAAAAGAGCAACTAAGGTGGTTAAGGGCCTAGAGACTAAAACACATGAAGAACGGTTGGAAGAATTGGGTATAGCTGGTCTAGGGAAAAGAAGAACCGGTGGGAGGAGGGGGACATGATAGCAGTGTTCCAATATTTCCAAGAAGAGGGGGTCAATCCATTTTCCAAAGCAGCAGAAGGCAAAACCAGAAACAACGGATGGAAACTACTCAAGGAGAGAAGCAGTTAGATACCTAAGGGGAAACTTCCGAACAGGGAGAAAAATTAACAAGTAGAATGGTTTGCTTTCAGAAGTTGTGAGTGCCCCACCACTGGAGTCTTTTAAGAAGAGACTGGACAACCATTTGTCTGAAATGGTATAGGGTCTTCTGCTTGAAGGCTTGAAGACCTCAAAGGTGTCTTCCAACTCTGTTATTCTGTAGCTTTGAAAAGCACTCATCTATAATATGAAATGGGCTTTAGAAAGGTTTAGTACAGCCCTGTTAACTTAATATAGACATGAAATACATTGCAGTATTTGTAGGTATTGAACTATGTCAAGAGTTCCTCAAAGAAACTAAACAACACAAAGCAAAATCCATTGAGCACTATCTAGTTTAAAAGTCACAGCATGGTATGGCATTCCTGTTGCAGTCTGGAGAGAACCCCATGGGGCAGTTGAGAAGGAAAGCCACACAGTGTGTAGCACTAAAATCTAAAGAGCTGAACCCCAGGAAAAACATTCATCCGATAAAATATGCCTGAGTAGGCATGGCTCCTATCTTTAACTGCAAATTCAGATTGAGCTTGCTAACCTAGGAGGCAAAATGCTATGCAGCCGAACCAAATTGAACATTATTACTTTGGGACTGAATGTAAAATGGATTTGGGTGGAGGGGAAAATGAGTATTACATTCTTTATGCAGAGAGATCTAAGTGACATCACACTGTGAGACCGAAATTGCAAATGCCTCAGTTCTCAGTCATAGAGAAAGCACAGACTAAGCTATAATTTTTGGCCTTGGCAAAAATCAAACTGCTTCAATACCACATTTGACAGAACTTTGTAGTAACTTAATTCATCTCTACGCCAGTCATTAATACAACCTATTTGAACAATGCTTAGCGGAGGCAGTCCGGTTTTGTGGCGTTAAACAGATGGTTTTAAATTGGGAAAAGAAGGGGCTGCCTTCAGTTTTTCTAAGCTTTGTCTTCACTTACTATGGTTTTCATTTCCTTTGTTCCTTAAATATTGAGGGTAAAATTCAAGCCCTTGTGGCCTGAGATGAAGTGCTGCTCAACTCTGGGTTTTAATTTCTGAGTAGATATGGCAAACCTACTTACAGTAATAAATAAATAAATATCAATGCATGCTAGGTTCAGATAAATTAGTCACCATCTTTTAAAACGACAGGCAAATATGGGTAAAAGTTGTCTTTGTTACTAAAACCCCTGCTGAGCAGAATGGTGCCTTAGACTTCTATTTCTAGTTCCAAGGAGTTATTGGTAGATCTTTCAAACCTAATAGAATTCTGCTTGATTATTCATTTTCATGCAACAGGATTAGTCTCAGCTGGAAATCAAGTTTATATTGGCAAAGTTATCTGCAGAGCTGGTAGGGCTCCCCCCCCCCCCGCCCCATGGCTCCATCTACCAGTTGTTAATCCTTCCAAGATGTAAGCATCATTCTACTGTAAAGTAGAATCTTCCAGTGAGTTTCTCCTTCAAAGAGGCAGCGTGGGTATTGCAAAGCTTTGCTCCCATGTTTAAAACCAGTTCCTGCAGTAGGGATCATTCTGTAATCCCCCTGTACATTCTCTGCGTGGTTTAAGAACCCTGGAAAATGAAGGGCTGAACTTTTGCATGGACCCTTCAGGGGTAAATAAAGAACTTCCCAGGTACTTACCATGTTTCCCCAATAATAAGGCAGGGTCTTGTTTTCTTTTGATCCCCAAAATAAGTATTTGGCCTTATTTTGAGGGAGGTCTTTTTATTTTTGAGGTGCAGGAGGCAGTGAGCCTGGCCTCCTCATGGTTGCTGCTGTGTTGCAATATTATCAGGGAAGGCTTATTTTAGCACATGCGCTCAAAAGCCCAATTGGGCTTATTATCCGGGGAGGTTTTATTTTTGGGAAAACAAGGTATTTATTCCACAATATTGAAAGGTGCCTGCTAGGGGCTAAATCAGTGTGTGGAATTTGTTGCTTTCCAGATACTATTGAATGTCAGTTTTTAGCATGCATGAGGAGGAGTGAGGCAACCTGGTTAAATCAGTAGGATTTGAATGGCAAAGGGTTTTCTATCTCTGACATAAATATAGTCTTATAATATCCTTTTTCTTTTCTTTTTTTTTCCTTTTCCTCTTTTCTATTCTTTTCTGCCATTGTTGACTCCTGGCCTGGACTAATCCCTACAATTTTCTTGGCAAGGCTGCAGAAGTGGTTTGTCACTGCCTACTTCCTGGGGTTAAGAGAGCACAACTACTAGGTCGTCCAAGGTCACCCAGCTGGCTTCATCTCTTAAGGCGGGACTAGAACTCAC